CAGTCCGAATAAAGACTAAAAGTTCTTGTCAGTATGGTTGTGTAACACTGAGTCGGAGGTTGTGCAACCTCCTTTGGAAAAAATGTAAGGGCAGGAAGATGGATAGGTGTCTGTCTGATTAAGGTGCAGTATTGTCTGTGGGCAGGAGGATGAACTGATGAGATTCCTTCCATTTTGAGGATCATAAGTCTCTAACTCGTATGTTTTTTTTCCACTCTGGACTTTTTTTGGCAAAGAATGAACCTGGTCAAGGAAACCCAAAAAGGGGAAAACGGACATTGCTCACATCAAGTTCTGATGTCACCTTTTTGTCAAAAGATGAGATTCAGCTCATGTTTCCCCCCACCCCGGTGGGATAACTGAGGTACAGAGGATAATTGTGCCTTGCCCAACATCACTTAATAACTGTGAAGCTCTGGGCCTCGCATGAAAAGCAAAAGTGTTTTGTGTGTGTGTGTGTGTGTGTGTGTGTGTGTGTGTGTGTGTGTGAGAGAGAGAGAGAGAGAGAAAGAGAGAGAGAGAGAGCGCCAGCTGGCAACAGCTGTTATTTTTGTTATTACAGCAAAAGGATTTAATTAGCCCAGTACCCTCTACTCTCCTCTCTTACCCTATGAAGTCTTTCTCTTCAAAACAAAAAACAAAAACAAAAAACAAAAAACCAAAAAACAAACAAAAAAACAAAGGCATATGTATATTTATACCTCACTGCAAATTTAACTTGCACAATTCTCCTAGGGCTATTTGACTTTAAGCCTTACCCCTAACTTACCTGTATATTCAACTTCTTACTTTCTATGAAATCCTCCCCTCAAGCTATGAAACACAGTTAAGTCTCTTCCCTCATTAACAAACCCTTTGACAATGCATTGCCCTCCAGCATTCCTTTCTTAGGCAAGCTTCTCAAAAGAATGGTCTCTACTAGGTGTTTCCACTTCTCAGTTCTTAATTTACTACCATCTGGGTTCTATCTCTAGTGCTCTACGGAAACTGCTCTTGTTTAGGCAATTGTCAAATGGAGTAGAGTTGCTTAGGCTTCATCTTATTTGACCCGGTCTACTGTATTAAACACTGTTGACCACCGACTTGCTCCCCTTGCAAACATCTTTTATTCCTTCCCTTCAGCTCACTCTTGTTTGCTTGTCTTCTCTTTCTACCTCTCTGACCACTCTTTCCTGGTCTCCTTCACAAGCTTTTCTTCCTGGGCCTGCTCTTCAATGTTGTTGGGTTTTTTTTTTTTCTCAAAGGGAGATAGTTCTATTTTTTAATTAAAAAAAAATGTATTTAGCCTTGGCTGGTGTAGCTCAGTGGGTTGAGCGCGGGCCTGTGAAGCAAAGGATCGTGGTTCAATTCCCAGTCAGGGCACATGCCTGGGTTGCAGGCCAGTTCCCAGTGGGGGACACATGAGAGGCAACCACACATTGATATTTCTCTCCCTCTCTCCTTCCCTTCCCCTCTCTGAAAATAAATAAATAAAATATTTTTTAAAAAATGTATTTATTTATTTATTTATTTATTTAGAGAGAAAAGAGGGAGAGAAGAACTTGTTCGTTGTTGCATTTATTTAGGCATTCATTGTTTGATTTTTTAAAAAAAGATTTTATTTATTTAGTTTTAGACAGAGGGGAAGGAGGGAGAAAGAGAGGAAAACATCAACGTGTGGTTGCACTCGCACGCCCCTAACCGGGGACCTGGCCCACAACCCAGGCACCTGCCCTGACTGGGAATCAAACTGGTGACCCTCTGGTCTAAAAAACCAGCCAGGGCTGCTTCTTGTATGTACGCTGACAGAATGGAACCGGCAACCTTGGCATATCTGGATGATGCTTTAACCAACTGAACTACCCAGCCAGCGTTAATTTTTTTGTGTGTGATTAAAAAATAATATGGCCCTGGCTAGTGTAGCTCAATGCATTGAGCGTGGGTCAATCCAAAGGATCGCCAGTTTGATTTTCAATCTGGGCACATGCCTGGGTTGCAGGCCGGGTCCCAGTTGGGGGTGTGCAAAAAAAGGCAGCCCTACACTGATGTTTCTCTCCCTCTATTTCCGTCCCCCTTCCCCTCTCTCTAAAAATAAATAAATAAATTATTTTTAAAGTAATACATTCATTGTTTTTAAAACTATAAATAGAAACATAAAAACCAACTGAAACCCTACCACACAGAAGTAACTACTGCTAACACTGATTTATAGCCTTCAAGTCTTTAAAAATTATTATATATCATATTCAGTAATATCAATTATATCATATTACAATATTTTACCAGCTTTTTTCACTTTTTTCATGTGCATCATTTCATTTCATATCAAAAAGCATAGAACATTATTTGAAATGGATACATAGGAAAACCCCAAATTTGGCTATTTTTAGGAAAGACTGAGTTTTATGATGGAGGTGACTGAGATACAGTCTGTAAAACATAGACTCCACTAATCCTTTATAAGGCTTGTCATATGAACAAATTCACAAATGGCTACAAAATAGTACATTACATAAAATGAAAAAATATTTATTTGTAGACGAGGTCTGTATTCTGGTATTCTTATGTGATTATCTGATTATTTTTCTCAGGATAAATGATTGAAAATGAAATTTTGGGTCAAAGTTCTGATAAATAACATTAAAAATATTTTCAAAATGCAGCCCTGACTAGTGTGGCTCAGTGGGTTGGGCATTGCCCTGAGAACCAAAAGGTCGCTGGTTTGATTTTCTGTTAGGGCACATGCCCGGGTTGGGGGCCCCATCCCTGGTGGGGCGCGCAAAAAGCAACCAATCAATGTCTCTGTAGCACATTGATGTTTCTCTCCCTCTCTTTCTTCCTGCTTTCCTCTCTGTCTAAAATTACATAAAATCTTTTAAAAAATTTTAAATACAAAAGTGCTTGAACATAAATGAGAAGAAAATGAAAAAGAATTCTCCCTGCTGTCTGACTCCTGTTCTCTAGTTTTGCTGTCCAGAGACAGACAGTATTACAGGTTTCTCAAGGTCAAATGGTTTCAAAAACACATAATGCCAATTTGCCCCCCAGAAAGTTGTAGATTCACACTCTCATTGACCCTGAATGCCTTCACCAACTTTTAAATCTTCTCTCCTTGCCTCTTCACATTTTTTCCTTCTACACTGTATGCTGACTCCCAAATCTCTATCTTAGTAATCACAGCCTTGAGCTCCAGGCCAGTATTTCCAGCTGCCTGCTGGACAAGCTCCATCTGGATGTCCTACAGACACCCCAGATTTATCTGAACTGAGCTCATTGTCTTCCCTCCCAAACTTACTTTTCTTTCTGTAATTCCGATGTTCAGTGTTTGTTGGTGGTACCAGCATCCACCTAGTTGTGTAAATCAGAAATCTAGGAGTCCTTTTCATTTTTCTCCCTCTCCCCTCAAATAGGAATAATAGCTAATAGTTACTGACACCATCACCACATATTCCAAATGTTCTTGGCGATACTCTCATAATTAGTCGCATTCCATTCCAAATAGATCTTCCATGTTGCCTGCAAAATAATGCTTGTAAGACATAACTCTGATCGTGTCTTTTCCCCGTGGAGACACTTCAGTGGCTCCCTATCGCCTACATCATAAAGCCTGAGATACTTTCCTTAATATAGAAGGATCACCCTCATCTGCCCACCCCCAGCTAGCCTACATCTCTAAGAACTTCCATTACACCCTCTGAATTGACAGTGATTGCTTAAAAATATCATGTTGTAGCTTATTGGGATGACTCTGCAGGTTACTCCCTCTGTAGAAAATTACCTTTCTCTATTTCCACTCCTATTTTTCCTTTATATGTTTTCATGTCTGTGAAACTCAGATATTTCCTCCTCCAGAAACATTCCCTAATTCCTCCAATTATTCATGTCCTAAGCGCTGCTTTGAACATTTGCTTATTTTGTATCTGTCACATTATCTTAGTTTTATTTACTTGTCTCACTTTCTAGAATGTTAACTCTTTTAGGGCAGTGAGTCTCTTATTAAATTCTAGGTCTTTAGCGTTTAGCAGGGTGCCTGGCACATAAGTAGTTGCTCAGTAGATATTGGCTAAACTCAATTCAATAACTTAATTGTGAAATTATAGGGCCTTGTACTCTGTTGAAAGAATTTCAGCCATTAGTGATATAGGAACTTTTTTTATGAGCAGAAGGAAGGTGCAAGGAGGGAAAAAGGAAGACGTAAAGTCACCCCCCTTAATCGGGGGCACTAGTTCTTCCTGTGCGCTACGTGTAAATTAGTCATAAATATTTGTTTCTATAGATATTCTCATGTAGACATGTATTCTATCGCCATTATGGGCTGCAAGCAACCTCAGAGTAGTGCCAAGTAAGGAGTTTTGCAGAGCAGAGAATGGAAGGTACGAAATAAGTGCCCTCAATTTGCCAAGAAACCTATCTGAGTACAGCTTGGCTTCGCTTTTATGTGGCAGCAAGCGGAGGATGAAGATATGCCCAAATATTCCTGAAAAGTGAGTATGAGAAATCATCTTTGTTTACTCCATCCATTCTCACTGCTTCCCTGGCACCATAGGTAGTTCTCACTGCGAGCTCAACTGCTGCGCGGGGCAGGTATTGAAACTGTCTGTGGCACGAGTGGCGGGGCTGCATTCTAGATTGTCAATACTATTGTTGGGACCGCACCCTCTGGAAGCCACGCTTCTATTTTCGCGCAAAACCCTGACTTATTCAGGTCACGGGGCTTCGGCCTATCACTGTAGAACCCTAGCGTGCAGGGCAGTGCCAACTGCTGATTGATACACGCATGGTCTAAGGCGATCTCTTACGTTGAGGAGCACCGATTGGAGGACCCGCCGGTAGTGCTTCCCAGGATACTGGGTGGCGCGTTCCGGGGATGCAGGCTCCCGGGCGGCCACAAATACCGCCCGGAAGCCTGAATAAGGCCTCCTGGGTACAGTACTCTCAGCTGCCAGCTAGGCCGCTATTCAGAGTGCTGGGCCCGGGGCCGAAGGCCTTGCGTGCACGTGCTTGCGTGCGTCGGGCGTGGGCGCGCGTGCGCGGCGCCGCAGTCTGTGGGTTGGCTGGTGATTTTGCAAGCGGGAGGGGCCGTGCGCGCTCCTGCCTCCGGCCTGTGTCCCCCACCCCCCCTTCCCTGGTCCCGGTCGCTCCTTCGGGAAGATGTCGGACACTGCCGTAGCTGATACTCGGCGCCTTAACTCGAAGCCGCAGGACCTGACCGACGCTTACGGGCCGCCAAGTAACTTCCTGGAAATCGACATCTTTAATCCACAGACGGTGGGCGTGGGCCGCGCGCGCTTCACCACCTATGAGGTTCGCATGCGGGTGAGTCACGGGGTGAGGAAGACAGCTGAGGGGAGGACCGGGCAGCTGGGCGGGGAGGGCGAGGAGGGCGGGGGGAGGCTGCCGCGGGGGCGCCTAGCGGTGGAGAAGGCGCTTGAAAGCCACAATTGGGGGTCCCGGGATGAATAGGTTTGGAGAGAGGTCTGCAGACTCTGTTGTGGTCCAAGGATTCCGAAAACTCCTCTGAGGGGGACATCAGACCAGCTTGAGGGAAAACAAGTACCCATGAGCAAGAAGTGAAGCATGGTTAGATAGGGTGGGGAGGATGGAGAAGCTTCAAGTGAGCAGTTCAAGGAAATAGGAATCGTGACTGTAGCAACAGAGGAAGGAAGGAAGCATGGAAGAGGGCTGGGGGATGGAAAGCCAAGGCGAGATATCGCTGGGACCCCTCACTAAATTAGGTTGTGGGAAGTCAGCCTGAAGAGGGAGGTCAGGAAGGCCCCGCTTGGTACTAATGAGGTCTCCCTGGGATGATGGAGTTAAAGCAAAGCCTGGATTAAAAGGAAGATGAGATTCCAGGATAAGAAGACAGTAGGCTTGGTGGAGAAGAAATAATAAAGGGAGTCTCCTTGAGGCTGAGTGCTTTCTCCACTTATGGAGAATTTGCATCTGAAGGAGAGAGTGTTTTCTCCTTAAGTTTTCTCAGAGGCATGCTGTGTCTCAGTGAAACCGGGCCTTGCACTGGGATTGGTGGATTGTCAGTTGCTGCTCTCATGCTATTCTTATCCAGCAGATTTGAAGTATCCAGAATGTTTATTTCAATGTCTGTAGGCTCTCATTTGCATATTCTGTATATGAGTGTCCATTTGCCCTTTCTCTCCTAGATTAACCTTTGGAATCAGACCCTGGTCTGTAGTTTCGTTAATGTCTGGCATTTCAGGACTGCCCCAGGAGTGGAATGCCTTCTTCCCCTGTACACTACAGAGAACTTTACTCTCTAGCTTTTAGGCCACAATGCAAGGATGGAATGTGCAGGTAGAGTACATGGTTTGCAGCTTCTTTGCCAGTTGAAGTGGTTACAGGCAAAAAAAGTGTGAGGGTGATTGTCTAATTCTCCTTATGTTTTTTTCTCAGACTAGAGGGCCAGACTATTCACTGTGGACAGCATGCTGCTCAAACAGCATTTGAAGACCTAAAAGAGTGTGTGTGCTTCCATTTTTGAATGAATAAATTGAATGAACGCACGTGCTCTCCTACTGGGCATTGAAATCTAATTGAGAAATGATAGTCTCCAAATTCCAAGTTTGGCAAAGTGCAGACTGAAGAAAGGGAAGCAAATAGCAAAAAAATGAGAACACTCACCTATATAAGAACTATTTGAAATCATCTTCTGGGGAAAGAATGGAAGTTAGATCCCTCAATATGGGATAAAAGCTAGGAAGCCTGGCCATCACTTGTTCAGTGTAAGGACTCCGCTGAGGAGTTTGGAGACATTGTCTTGATGCATTGCCCAAGAACCTTAGGAAGTATGAATGCAATAACTCTCTGCTTCAGGCATTTTGTTAACAACAGGGACTGTTTGTCTAGTGCCTACTGCATATCAGGCACTGAATTAGGTTTTAGTTTCCAGATCTTTACAAAAACTCCATTTTACAGCTAAGAAACCGAGGAGGAATGCAATTTTAAGTAACTTACCCAAGTACACAAAGCTAATAAGTAGCGGGGCAGGGATTTGAACCTAGGTCTCTCTGACTCCAAAACCCATCATACTCTCTCCTTTACACGGTAGTCTCTGGCAATGCTTACTTTAGTGTGCAAAGTATTTCTACCCATTAATCTCTTCATCAGTCCTTTGCGCGGTTGTTTAGTGATGATAGGGTTGGTGGCAGTTCCTAGTTCTGTGGGGTTAGTTTGTATTGTTTATGTCAATGTATAAGCTACATAGGCTTTTAACATTTTTGTTCAACTCTGTGTTGGGGAGAAATTGGCAAAAATCATTTGGTTTTAAATTACTATTTTAAGTGATTGATCATAGTAGGCGTTATAGGGAGCATGCGATTCAGAGAGTGGGCTTTGGGAGTTAGGCATTGTGAAAGGTAGAAGCAGATTGCACTGGCTTTTTCCCTTTGCGTACTAGCTAAATATTTCTGAAGCTGCCCTCTTGCATTTTGCTCATGAAAGAATTCTTTCCCTCCCTCCCATCTCCCCAGAATATGAGGAGTCTGGAGAGGTGCCCTGGTGACTTGACATGTGTATGGAAATTTTCAAGTGTCAGTGGTCCTGTGGACTCAAACTTTGCTTCTTCTCTCCTTTCCATTGACTTCGTGGTTATCAGATCCGAAGGACTCTATATTTTACACTGTGCAATCCTGTCTTTCTCATGTGGTTTGTAGGTTGGAGCTGGGAGGCTATCCTAGGACACAGCCCTTTCCTTAGATGACTAGGTGCTAAGATGAAAGGCCATTATTGTCACCACCCTGTGGAAGTAGGGAAAGAATAGCATTTTCGTAAGTCAAAGGAAGAAGTTTACAAAATGGCAGTGGGTGGTTTCATTGTGTTGTGGAAGAATCTACTCAGCATTTTTTTCTTTCCTTTGGTCCTTCTGTTGGCTTTTGTAAAAACCCACTAGTTAAGGTTCTACTTTTAAGGAGCACAGTATTTGTAATGAACTGTGGTAGAAACCTAGAATCACATGATACTGAAGGGCTGTTTTTCTTGTAGGATATACTCTCCCCCCAGTTTTATTGAGATATAATTGACATATAACATTGTATGAACTTAAGGTTTATAATGTGATGATTTGATACACATATATCTCTTGCAGGATTCTGAGAATGTTTTCTATAATGGGTTATCTTGAAGAGTTAATACATGCACATGGTACAAGATTCAAAAGGTATAAGAAAGGTACCCTGTAAAAATTGTCTCCTTATCTCTGCTCTCCAGAGGTTCCTCTTTCTGAAGAGACTATGGTTTCCAGTTTCTTATTTAGTCTTCTAAAGGACGGTTTAGATAATAAAATATTACTTTACATATATCTCACGCCACTTTAAGTCATTGACCTTCCTTGGACCTTGATCCTGGATAGACTTGTAACTAATATAAGTCAACTCGTTATTTGGCTTTTGATGACCTATGATACCTAAACCTGGATCCTGATAAAATAATTTCCAGACTTGAGAACTACAAAGCATGATATAGTGAGGACTGTGTGAAGCCCTAGCATAGCTTCAAGATGCTTAATTCCTGATGTGAGGCAACTGTGGAGAAAGGAGAGAAACTGGTTCCTTTTATTTCCATCTGCTGATCTGAATTGGCTGCTGGGAAATATAGTCACTATTAATACATGTGTTTGGCCATTTCTGTTTAGAACATGTAGGCAAGAGTGAGGATCAGGGCTTTTTGTTTGTTGGGGATTCATGTTGCCCTAGAGTGTTAGGAAAATTCTCAATGATTAAGATGTGGGAATAAGCTGATTTATATCAGGGAGCAAGCCGAGTTAGGCCAACCGAGTATAATTGCTCTTTCTGCTGCACTTTTTAGATTAGGAAAGGGTAAACAGACATATAGGACCTCTATGAATCAATTGAATATTGATCGAGTAAATTGCATAGTCTGTATTGAAGGGGTTGCAGAAGTAGTCCTGGCTCCCGATTTCAATGAAATTACAGTTAGGTAGCAAGGTGATCATGATGCATAAAACAAGCCTATCAGGCAGTGCCGCAGTATGATTGTCATAAGAGTTCAGAGGAGAGGCAGGCCAATAAATTCACCTGGTATTGTCAGGAAAGACTTCCCCGATGAAGTGGGACTTGAGCTGAGAGTTGTAGAATGGAGAGGACTTAGGCATGAAAAGCAAAGGAAGGCGTACCTCGGAAGTGCTTATCTCACAGTCCTTATAGGGAACTTAAATTCACTTTTCTTTTTTTTTTAATATTATTTTATTTAGTTACTTTTCAAGTACATTTTTTTTAATCTATTTCTCCCATCCCACCGTACCCCCCCGCCCGGTCTCCCCCCTCCCTCCCATTCTTAAATTCACTTTTCAGTGGAAAATGTAATACATGCATGTGATAAATTCAAATTGTACAGTGAAAAATGTGACCCACCTATTCCAGTTGTCTAATTTTATTCTCCAAAGTCACTCACTATCTTTTCATAAATAGTATATTCGTAAATATAAATATATACACATATACAAATCCCTTTTATGTTTTATTAAATGTATTGGTGTGACATTGATTAATAAGATCATATAGGTTTCAGGCATACATTTTGTGATACTAGATCTGCATATCACTTTGTGTACCCACCACCAAGCTCAATTTGTCTTCTGTCACCATATATTAGGCCCCTTTACCCTTTACTACCCCCACCCCTTTTCATCTGGTAACCACCATACTGTTGTCTGTCTGAGTTTCAGTTTTATATCCCACATATGAGTAAAATCATATATGGTTCTTAGTGTTTTCTGACTGGCTGACTTGACTTAGCATGATAATTTCAAGGCCCCTCAATGCTGTTGCACATAGCAGTATTTCATCTTTTTTTTGGTATTAAACCATAAATTTAGTAAGTGTTATCGAGCCCAATAATATACTAGAATACAACAGGGTACAAAATAAAGACCTTGTGAAGCTTTATAAAAACAGTGGTAAAGGTTATGGAGATAAAGAATGTGGCCCTAAAAGGAAACTGGAAATTGAAGGCAGTGGGTCATCCATTCATTAACCGAGTGTCAGAGCCTGCATGCCTCACGCAGTCAACGTTCTTGAGGACACAGTGGTGAAAATAAAACGCCCTGTTTGTGCCTCAGGGGAATTAGACAGCAGCTCAAAGGACAGACAATTAAACGAGAAACTCAAAGTGTTAGTCACCAGTAAGCCTAATTTTAAGCTCAGAACTCATGGTTATGATAGTTAAGTTACAGGAAAAAGTGCCTAGCACAGAGCAGGCACTCACAAAATGCTTGTTGTTTTTAATAAACTAAACAACTTCACTCGTGTGTAGAGAGGACCGACTTACACACAATAGTAAATTGTAATGATTTGAAAAGCAAACAAGGTTAACACAGAAGTCTTGATGAATCATATAACTTTGAGTTAAGTACAAGGTCCTTGTCCCCCGTCTCCATGGGCTCCTCTTTGTCTACTCCAGACAAAGTTTTCTCTGCTAATCACTGTCTAGGAAAGCTCATTAAAAGATTTAACCGATCAGACTAAATGTTTCTTTTCTTAATTCATCTCATTACCCTTCTGACACTCCAGTACTGGCCTACACACTTGACTTTCATAGCTTCCATTAATGCAAATAGGATCTCATCAAGGTCTAAAGATCCCTAGGAGAGCTGAGATTGAATATCTTCATCTGAATGCATAAAATAGCAGCTGCTCCTAGGATATTTCCCTTGTTTACAGTGTTTCCTTCAGTCAGAGGTGAGCTCGTCCACGCCGTGAAAAATGAATGAACACATTTCAGATTCATTCTGAATCTGACTGTGCCTGGATGAAGCTCAGTATTTCATCTTTTCTTATGGCTGAGTAGTATTCCATTGCATATTTGTACCACATCTTCTTTACGCAGTCATCTGCTGAAGGATGCTTTGTTTTTTTCCATGTCTTGGCCACCATGAATAATGCTGCAATGAACATAGAGATGCATGTATCTTTGTGAATAAATGTTTTCCATTGAGTTTTTCAGGTAAATATTCAGAAGAAGGATAACTGGGTTATGTGGTAACTATATTCTTAGTGTTTTTGAGGACCTGCCATACTGTTTCCATAGTGGCTAGACCAGATTACTTTCCCACCAGCAGTGAATGAGAGTTTCTTTCTCCACAACCTCTCCCAACATTTGTTATTGTCTGGGTTGTTGATAGTAGCCATTCTAACGGGTATGAAGTGGTAGCTCATTGCAGTTTTGATTTTCATTTCCCTAATAGCTAGTGAACTGAGCATCTTTTCATATATCTGTTGGACATTTATATGTCTTCTTGAGAGTAATGTCTGTTTGGGTCCTCTGCCCATTTTTTAAATTGGATTGTGTGTTTGGTGTTGAATTATATGAGTTCTTCATATATTTTGCATGTTAACCCCTTGTCAGCGGGGTTGGTTGTAAATATCATCTCCCATTAGGTTGGTTGTCTTTTTGTTTTATTGATGTTTCTTTTTGCTCTGCAGAAGCTTTTTAGTTTAATATTGTCCCATTTATTTATTTTTGCCTTTACTTCCCTTGCCTTTATGGTCAAATTCATAAAATCTTCTCTAAGACCAAGGTTTTTGAGTTTAATACCTATGTTTTCTTCTATGTAATTTATTGTTTCAGATCTTACATTTAGGTCTTTGACCCATTTTGATTAATTTTTATACAGATCCCTTTAAAAATACAAGTAGAGGCAACCTATATATACTGTTCTGTATCTTGATTATAATGCTTAATATCTTTTCATACTGGCATAGTCTTTTGCATTCTTTTCATAGTTATATAGTATTCCAGTGTATAGGCGTACTATGTTTATTTACCCAATTACCTATTAATGGACACATATTATTACAAATAGTAAAATGCAGTGAAAACCCTTGTACATACATATTTGCATGTAACTTCAAGTCTACTTGTAGGAAATATTCTAAACAGCAAGGGACTTCTAATCATTCACTGTGACAAGGCCAGATGTGGTAAGGTTTGGCATTCATGTGGTGATGTTTTGAAAGGGTTACAGGACCATGGTCCATAGGAGCTCGCTCTTCCCTGGGACCTTGTGGTTCTGACAGGCGGCCACCATAGGCTGAACATTACTTACCATCTCTCTTCTCTCGTTCTGCCCTGTAGACAAACCTACCTATCTTCAAGCTGAAGGAGTCCTGTGTACGGCGGCGCTACAGTGACTTCGAGTGGCTAAAAAATGAGCTGGAGCGAGATAGTAAGGTATGGGCCCTGTTCCCTGTGTGGCACCGTTGAAGGGCAAGATCTGCATAGGCTGAGAGGGCATAAGATCAGAGACTGAAATTTTGAAGGCAGCGGAGAGGGTGAACACACCCTGTCTACCAAATACCAATATATTGGATCTGGGCAATAACCTCTGAAACTTGAGAGTGGTAAGTTTAGGAGAGATTCTAAAGAGAAAGTATTACTTCACTTAATGGCTAGTAAAGTCACATAACTTAACTCCTATACATGCTAAAAATGGAAAGTATAGTGTCAGGAAAGGCCTCGCTAGATTCATGGATGGTAGTGGATTGTTAAAGTGAGGAATATTTGAAGTTTATTTCCTTTCTTCAGAGATGGTAAACCTGCCCTCCCACTAAAACAGTTGGATTAATTTTTGACCTGAGCCATCCTGGCTGTTCTTGTGGTCTGCTCTTGCAAGTTGTTGGCTGTGGGGTACGATGGACCCTATGCCTTAGGAAACGAGGAATAATTCAGTGCTTTACCACCCCATTCCCTCTCTGAGTTCTCCCATGTGGCTGATATTTTGCGTCTGCCTGCAGATTGTAGTACCACCGCTGCCTGGGAAAGCCTTGAAGCGGCAGCTCCCTTTTCGAGGAGATGAAGGGATCTTTGAGGAGTCCTTCATTGAAGAAAGGAGGCAGGGCCTAGAACAGTTTATTAACAAGTAAGCCAAGTTCCTGGGGGCTCCTCTGTCTGCTTTTCCATCTTGGTCTTTCCGTGTGCTTCTTCCGTCTCCACTTTTGTAATGGGTAATACAATGTGCTGCCTATTGCGTGGTGGGCCAACTGGATAGCAAGGCTCTGTTCCTTGGAGCAGAATTCTGATCCCGTTCCTCAGGACCTGAGAAAGTACTGCATGGTGCATGTATCTAGGGATTTTTCCCTCCCTTACCCTCCAACCCTCTTCCCTTCTACAATATTAGGGTTGAAGTGGTGTCTCGCTGCTGTATCCCGCTTGCTAGAACCTCAGGGCTGACCTTCTCCTTTCTTCCTTATCCATACTCCCATAACCTCTGCAAGTTTTCTCTGATCTCAAATACTACCAATAACCATCTTGATCTCTTTGCAGAATTGCAGGGCACCCACTGGCCCAGAATGAACGCTGCCTACATATGTTCCTGCAGGAGGAAGCAATTGATAGGAACTACGTCCCCGGGAAGGTGCGCCAGTAGGAGCCCCTCTCACCACTTGCCCTCTACTTTCCTGCTGAAATGACATTGGTTTTTACACTAAGCCTCTCTCTCTTTCTTTGATCTGAAGTTGGCTGCCCATCCCCTGGCCTGATAGACTGTCTGGCATTGTGTTCCTTGGTACCTGACTACACCGTGGGCACTCTGCTAAGAACCTCTTCTCTGAGGAGAGGTGGGAAACCACAGGCAGATGCCCTTTGCTTGGGGTTGGGAGTGGGTGGGGGGATTGGACTGGAAGGCAATTTCTCGGGCATTTACGCATGCCAGAAGGCTAACGTTGGGGGCAGGGGTCTTGTGCTGCTGAAGCACTTGGCTGCATACTGATGCTGCAAGTCCAGGGGATTTTTCGTACTCTTAGGTTTAACCAGGAACGCTGAGCGGGGGGAAAAACCCTGCCTCTCCTACCTGCATGATTTTTTTCCTTTTTGGGAAGGTGGTAGAGACCCAAAAGCTGTCCTCGTTTTCTCTAGGCCTGCTCCCAGTTTTTTCCAACAATTTCTTGTGTTACTTTCTCTCCCTCTTGTTGCTTTCCATGGCAGCAATCCTCCTAGAGTCTAAGCAGTTTGTTGTGGGGTGCAAGGTGTGTGGGTTTTCTGGGCCTGTCATCATGGCTGCTTCAGAGTCAACAGAAAGCCATAGGGCAGCAGGGGAGCTCCTGTTGCCGAGCCCCTTTCCTTTGTAGCTGCCTGTTCTTGCTCACCAGCAGGTGAGTCAGTATGGGCCAACAGTCCTCCCTTCCCTGCTACTTTATGGATGAGCTTTGTAGGTTGGCTGGGTGGCTTGAGGGGTGAGGGCAACTCACTGCTGCCACGAAACTCCCTGAAGGTGGGAGTGGATCATTTCCTAGGTATATCTGGGTGGCAGGGAAGAGCATCACCACTGTCTTCCATCCTCCCTTCCCCCATCCCATTTAGTGCTACCCCAGGGCAGAAGCACATGAACAAACCACATACTTTCTGACTTCTCTCAAGCATTTTGAGCTGTTGAATAGGGCTCACGGGCAAGAGCTGTTTCTGCCCTCCGCTTGGTCACAGGGTTATTGAACTGCCTGAACTTGTTTCCCGTGGAACTCCAATGTTCTCCCCAGAAGTTGAGTTAGGGATAACAGCTGGGTATGAGTTTCCCAAAAGTTAAAGTCTAAAGCAGCTTCTTCAGACCGGCAAGTTTCCTGGGCTTCTGTCTGGGAGGTAGTGGTTTGCTGGGGCCTGATATCTATCCCAAGGGGTAGGATGGGAGCAGGTTACCTCTGGTGTCAGGGCAAAAGTGGAAGCTCTCTGCTTAGATGTCCTATCATGGAGGGATTGGGGTTCTCTGTACAAGGTCTTGGGGAAAAGGATTACTGATTCAGACAAGATTCGGAGTAGATAGATGAGGAGGGGATTTTGACCTGGGATTTGGAGCCCATGTAAATGTTGAAGTTCCCTGTAACAGAACGGCTCTCCAGCTGCTGAGCCTGTGCAGCCCCAAGAGAGAGGCTCTGCTCCCTTTCCCACTTCTCCAGTGTTGGTGTTGTTGCTGCCTTTTTGATTTGTACCCTCTGTTACTGGTTTTTTTTTTAAAGATTACTTCTTTCATTGTGCACAAGTGCTGAGAGCCTGAGGCCCCATTTTTGCTGTGTATATATCCTGATTCGGGGCTTTTATTCAGCGACTGTTCATTCTTCTGTCAGACAATGTCATATTCAACTCTGTTCATATTAAACCACTGTGAAGCAAGCCTCCGTTGTCCAGTTTTTTTTTTATTGTCTAGGATATTCTGGATATTGTGTAGCAATCATGCAACATGGTCAATTTCCTGGGGTGATAAGTTTTGTATACATTTTTATTTTTAAAAATATTTTATAGAGAGAGGGGAAGGGAAGGAGAAAGGGGGAAAGAAACCTCAGTGTGCAAGAGATAACCTCAATTAGTTACCTCTCACATGCCCCGCCAAGTGGGGACTTGGCCCACAACCCAGGCATATGCCTTGACTGGGAATTGAACTGGAGACCTTTTGGTTTGCAGGCTGGTGCTCAATCCGCTGAACCACACCAGCCAGGGCACATTTACATGTTTAAAAAGTGGAATTCTAGCTGCCTGTAGTGATAATTATTCATTCTTGCAACTTGGAGTTGACTTTGTCACAGAGGTAATGAATGCATCTGTTTGCAGGAAGTAGCCATAGGGCCCAGTACCTGTGGTTTGTGCCCCATTTAGCAGATTGGTTTTTAAGCTTGTGGGTTTGTGCTAATTTGGGCAGAGTATATTTAGTATGTGTATGTATATCTGTATATGTGTGTTCATGTGCTATAGGTTACATAAACACGTGTGCATTTGTTTTATCCTCTAAGACACCCCCACACACCACCTACAAACACTATTTCTTTTATAGGCTTAGGCTTTTAACCTCAATTGGATTTTTAAAAAATATTTTATTTATTTATTTTTAGAGAGGGGAAGGGAGGGAGGAAGAGAGGGAGAGAAATATCCACATGTGGTTGCCTCTCATGCATCCCCTACCAGGGACCTGGCCCACAACCCAGGCATGTGCCCTGACTGCGATCCTTTGGTTCACAGGCTGGCACTGAATGCACAGAGCCACACCAGCCAGGGTTCAATTGCATTTTTTCTTTCAAATAGATTTTATGCAGGCAGAAAGGTGAGTGAACTCTGAGGACTGTTGATGGGTGAATATTTTCATCTGACCAATGTGTTCTGACATGGATTCCTACACAAAGTGGGTTTTGGGAAAAGGTTTGGAATGCTAGGAGGTAGCAGTCTTGTCATTTGGGAAGTCACAGCTAGTTGAGAATGGAAAGAAGGTATAGAAAGTGATGTGGTCAACATGTTATGAATTAAGGTGACAGCGGTGTTTAGGTGAAGTAGAAGAGTGGGACAGAATTGAGGAAGAGGTTTTGGTATTTCTGGAATTAAATGCCTCTAAGATAGCTGAGGGAATAGGACAAATAGATGCTTCTGTGAGATAAGAGAAAGAAGAGTAATGAGAGAAATGCTAACTTTATGGTCAGCAGCGTTAGAGAACGAGTTAGAGAATAATTAGAAAAAGCAGCTGTAAAAGAAAATATTAACAAAATGGTGGACAGGTGACACTGATTTTACAAGTACTAATTAACAGCCTCCTCTGTGTCCAGCCTTGTGCTAAAAGCTGGGCTGGGGGTGGAATAGGGTGGTCACAGTATAAGTAAAACATGATTCCATTCTCTTTTTTCATAGACCTTATTACTTCTTATACTTTAATTCTAGAGATGTCTACACAAGGCCAGAAAATGCTAGAGACAACATAAGAGGTCTAGGCACATCCAGTTGTCTAGTCTTTTTTTTTTTTTTAATTCCACAAAACAAGAAGCCTTTACCTCAGCATTACAAAAACACTTTCCATCTTGGCGATATTTTACAACACTTAGCTTCAAGAGTTGGGAAGGAGAAAGTTGGCGACTAAAGGGAAAAAATCCTGCGAGTGTTCCTAAGAAACTGTTCCGGCTCTCCCACCCAAATAAAAGTCCAAATACCACTTAATTTCACTGCCCAACAAGAGGCCATGAGGAAAGCAGTAGGAGGAACTCGGGCAATTTCACTATGGATTATGTCAGAGACAGGACATAATGTTCAAGACAGTCCTCAGCACTGTTGGTTGCACAGATCATTTCTGTAGTTGTCTCTTCCTCTCATTTTGCCTCCGTAGCCACTTCGGTCTCCTCCATAGCTGTCACCACTCCTGTCTCCATAGCCTCCACTTCAGGCTTTATCATAGCCACCAATACCATCACTGTCTCCTCTGTATCACCCCCACTCCTTCCTCCGTCATAGCCACCTCAGTCTCCACCTCTGCCTCCATAACCCCTCTCTCCATTGTAGCCTGTTCCCTGGAAATCTCCTGAGGGACGAGAGTTTTCTGGTCTGGGCTCATTGCACTGATGGAAGGGATTCCTCTAAGCCAAGTTCCTATTTCCACATGATGCATTAGGGCAAACCCAGTCCCTATTTTGGGGGTCTCCGCCTCTCCCCTGAAAGCCTTTATGGCCTCTATATTCTCCATGGCTTTACCACCCACCTCCACTTCCACTTTATAAATTCAGGCGTTCTGGTGACAAAGGACACTTTAATGATGTTGCCATGAAGTTCTTCTTCATCAAACCACTCAATGGCTGCCTTGCCTGAAGGAGGGTCATCAAATGACACCATTGCCTCCCTGTTTGGCTTCCCTGTGTACAGATTTACCATTGGTTTTCCCATCTTGTTTGTCTTGATAAGTCCTGTCTGTTTAAGGAACCCCCTGACTTGATCTGTCGACATACCTTCCCCAAGTCCTTGCACAAAAATTGAGTTGTTAGAGCTGGTCTGGGTTTATGATCCTGACCACCAAAATTTTTGAAGCCACCACGGTCACCACCAATTGATCCTGTCATAGGACCCCTTTTATTTTAGCCTTGTCATATCCTCCATGCCCTCTACCTCCTCCCTGTGACCTGCCATATTCTTTATTATCTTCTCCAAACCTACTAACATCATGACAGTCATCTTTGTGGTGGCTGTAATTTTCCTTCTGTGAATGGTAGAATTTATGATGTTTTTTAAATTTTTAAAATTAATTTTAGAGAGAGAAACATTGATTTTATTATTCCACTTACTTATGCATTCTTGGTTGCTTCTTGTATGTGCCCTGACTGGGGATTGAACCCACAGCCTTGGTGTATTGGGAGGATGCTCTAACTAACTGAGCTACCCAGCCAGAGCCAGAACTGCTGGCTTTAAAAAAAAAATCTCACCCGAGGATATATTTATTGACTTTACAGAGACAGAAAGGGAGAGAGAGAAATCGATGTGAGAAACCCTGAGGCAGGATCAAACCCACAATCTAGGTATGTGCCTGGACTGGGGATTGAACCTACAACCCTTTTGGTGCATGGGACAAAGGTCCAACCAATTAAGCCACTCAGGCAGGGCAAACTGCTGGTTTTGATTATAGGACCTGTGCTGCTGATCATAATTTGACTGCTCATCACGTGGACCCTGATGGTGATCATAGCCTGACTTCTGGTCCTGTGAATCCTGTTCACCATAGTTTGATTGGTCATATGAAGGTACTCTTCCACTTTGGCCTCTTGATGATTCTGTGTTTTTCTGCCCGTGGTTATTATAAGATTGCTGGCCATATGCACTTTGCTTTTGATTCTTATAACCATTGCAGGACTGTGAATGACCTGATTGGTTTTGTACATAACGAATAACCTCTATAGTTCTGTCCACATGAGGAATCAGTAGTTTGCCTATAGCCAGAATAGCTTTGTGGTTCTTGTCCATAACCTTGATTGCCTTGATTTCCATAGGAAGAATAACTTTGCTGCTCACCCCCAGACTGACCATAACTTCCCAAATCTGACATGACTAATGGCCGCGGAACAGAGCTCCCACACCCTGCCTAGTACGAGGAATTGGAGAGCCAGCTGGCACAGCGGCTGAAGCTCCAGTCTTCTTTTTAACTATCAGGTCAGATAAATTCCCTTTCTTTGGAGTCAGATTGGCCATTATAGCCCGGTAATGGGAACCTGAAAGAATCCCACATCCAAGTCTTCCTGCCCTTCAAAACTGAGAAGCATACTTTATTTATTTTTAGAGAGAGGGAGAAAGGGAGAAAAACATCACTTGGCTGCCTCTCACACATGCCCAACCAGGGACCTGGTCCGCAACCCAGCATGTACCCTGACTGGGAATCAAACAGTTGACCTTTCAATTCACAGGTCTGTGCTCAATCCACTGAGCCCCACCAGCCAGGGCTCTCTATGCTTTTGAGAACAGAAAACTCATTCCTTACAAAACAGACAAAAGTGGGATAATTATTAACAACACAAAATGATTCTTTAGGTCAGAGCAGGCTTCCTTTAAATGGGTACTTCCTATGGGGGTTTTAAGTGTTTGTATATGGATCATCAACTACTTGATAAACAGAAACTGAAGGTAAAGTATTAGAAGACATCCTGCCAATTGAAGATCAGTCAGAAATTGGATAAAACAGTAATTCTTTTTTAAATAAAGATTTTATTTATTTATTTTTTTAGAGAGAGGGTAAGAGAGGGAGAAAGAGAGGGAAATATGTGTGAGAGAAAAATTGATGGGTTGCTTCAAACACAGCCCCAACCAGAGACCAGTCTGAAACCCAGGCATGTGCACCTTGACTGGGAATCCGAATGGGTCACTTTTTGCTTCACAGACCGGCACTCAATCCACTGAGCCACACGAGCCAGGGCAACAGTAGTTCTTAAGTGAAAAATAAAGTACAGTTAAGTTCACAGAAGTTTATGTAATACTTTTCGAGAAAATGGTGTATGATTATACCAATAATCTTTTTTATCCACATGTAGTCAACTTTCGATCATCTGGGCTAATGGGATAATACATTTTTCTTTTATTATGCATTTTTCTAACATTTAAACATAGGGATGTCTAGTAGTCCTAAGACTTATTTCCTAACATGTCATCAGAATGAAGACTCAAGAGAACTCTGAAAAGAAGTAGAAGGAGTAATAGGCCTGAAATACCAACCTGGGCTCTGGAGCTGGCTATGCTATTAACTGGCTCTAGCACCTTAGGCAAATTGCTTCACCACTCTGGGCCTGTTAATTATAAAATGAGGGGGTTTGACTATACAATACTCGTAGTAGATACGATTAGAAGAATATCTTAAATCTCTTCCAATCTTTGCCAAGTGGTAAACCCTGGATGTAATAACCACCAAAAAGGTAAAAGCACAGTTTTTCCCATGTGATGGAGTTTGCCATAACATAGTTTTCTCTCCAAGAAATGAATGTCTCTTCACTTAGGTTGATTAGATTTTGTTTGCCCACATCCTGTTGTACCAAGTCGTGAGTGCCCCGCTGAAACTTGGTGTTGATTTGATTTAGTTGCCCTAATTTTATTCTAGGTTCTTCTAGTTGAAATTTTTAAAGGAAATAGTCACCTCATACCAATAAGGAATTATTTTTTTTTTAAAAGATTTTGTTTATCTTTAGAGGGGAAAGGTAGGAGAGAGGGAGAGAAACATCAATGTATGGTTACCTTTCGTGCATCCCCTGCTGGGAACTGGCCTGCAGGGAACTGGCCTGCAACCCAGGCATGTGCCCTGACTGGAAATCGAACTGCAATTGTCTGGTTCCCAGGCCCGTGCTCAATCCACTGAGCTACACCAGTCAGGGCTAGGAATTATCCTTATTTACAATATATAAAGTATAACTTCATTGGTTATTCTGATTACACAAGTGCCTATTTTGTTAAAATATTTTATTGTGATAAAAATTCAAAAGTAATTCATGACAGTTGACAAAATTCAAACAGAACATAAATGTGTAATAAGTGAAAGATTTCTCCTTATTCCCTCTCCCTATTCCCATTTTCCAAGAATAACTTAATTGGGTATGTGTCTTCCCAAACCTCTTTCTATGCACAAAATATGTATATTCATATGTACATATGAATATACATATATCCACACAATATACATGTATGGATACCCACACACTTGTATATAGCTTTTTTTTTAATTTAAATATTTTATTTATTTATTTTTAGAGGGGATGGGAAGGAGAAAGAGTGGGAGAGAAGCATCAATGTGTGGTTGTCTCTCATGTGTCCCCTACTGGGGACCTGGCCTGCAACCCAGGCATGTGCCTTGACTGGGAATCGAACCAGCAACCCTTTGCTTCACAGGCTCGTGCTCAGCCCACTAAGCTACACCAGCCAGGGCTTATAGCTTTTTAACAAAAAAACAAAATGGGCTAATATATGTTCTATTTTGCAAGTTAATTTTTTTCACTTTGCAATGTATTGTGGACTTCCTCTCACATTAGTGTATGGAAATGTACCTCATTTAAAAAAAATGGCAGTATAAAATTTCTTACTTGTAGTATCACAATGTAATGATCCACTTATTGTTGGAGATTTGTCTCCATTCACTATTACAAGTACTACATATAACCTTGGTCATGTGTTTAGTGCTTATATAGGATAGATTTTTAAAGAAAGAATTGCTGGGTTAAAGGCTGCTTGCATTTTACATTTCCATAGGTACTACTAAGTTGCCTTCTTAAAGAGTTCAGTTTAGGTTCCTGCTTACAGCAAATGAGAATTTGCTTCCTCACCAAAAGTGCAGCAATTCCTATCTCCTCACAAAAAGTTTCTTTGCCAAAAGTGGCAAAATATTAAACAATGGATAATTATCCAAACTATTTGGTGAAAATGGTGTTTCTTAAATTTTAATTTGCATTTTTCTAGTATATTTAGTTGTAATAATACCTCTGTCAGGTTTTAAAAATATGTCCCCACATATTACATTTTGGTTGTTCTAGAAGCAGTTTTTATTGCTGCTAGTTGAACATTCCGACCATTCCTCACTGTAGATAAACCAACACTTAATTAAAGGCTCTGAATGTTCCTAGCCAGGGGTGTCAAACTCATTTTCAGCAGGGCCTGCATCAGCCTCTATCAGCCTGGTGGTTGCCTTCAAAGGGTGGTTGCCTACAAAGGGCCGAATGGAATTTTAGGACTGTATAGATGATGTAACTACTTCTTAACTAGGGGAAAGGAGCTCTACATTCGACCCTTTGAAGGCAACCATGAGGCTGATGTGGGCCTCGGTGAAAATGAGTTTCACACCCCTGTCCTAGGCTTCTTCCTGCCAGACTTTGTGGGGAGGGGAAATGAAGCAATTAATCTGGAGGCAAAGCAACATTATCTGAGGTGCTCTCAGGACTAATACTTTTCTCAGGTTGGCACTGAGACCAAGCCCAGAGAAGCAACAAATGCTGAACCAAAGACTCATCTGACCTCAGGGCCAACCTCCTTGGAAACTGGGGGGAATAGTACTTTGCCCTCCAGCTTGGGACTCTTTTTTGGGCATTTCTTCCAGAGCCAAACCTTAGATTCGCACCGTTGGGAAAAGGATAGGGACCTAGACCTTGCTGGTGACTGAAAGAGAAGGCCTCTGCTCTTCCAGTTGGCTGTCTACACGTCAGTCAGAAATAAGCAAGCTTTTAATTGGTCTTACGCAGTAGGAAGCACATACCCTCTTCTGATTGGCCTCTTAATCGAGGGGTGGGCCACAGTGAGACCTGCTGGTTGGCTGGAATGGGAGACCAACTGGAACCCTGTGGCGCTGCTTTCGAAAATGAAGCCTGCCTGGCAGCCCCTGGGAGACTGTGGGTTGCCTTCGAGCTCCCGCGGCTTAGTTGGTAACTGCGCTCCGGTTCTCCGCAACCTAGTTCCCGCTACCCCGCCCCCACCCTGTCTCAGATTGTCTTCACGTGTGTCATAGTGCCTCGGCCTGTAGTCTCCCAATCTGGTGTGTAGGGGGTCCCTGCCTTAGTCTGCAGGTCTCCTCCTACCACCGCCAGCCCATAGTTCTGCCTTTCACTTGGCTGCTGAGATCTCGGGTCGGGCCAGAGAGTGGGGGTCGGGGACCAGGAATGTGGAGTTTGCAGGCATCAGGGCGAAGTTCAAGAGGGTGGAAGTGGGAGAGTCTGAGCTCTGTGGTACTGAAGGCCTTTGGTATTAAGGGTCAGGAAGAGAGCAGAAAGTGACCCAAAAAGTTCTGCCATCAAGTGGCCACCATTTCAGCTAGCCATCTCCTCTATAGCCTGGTTTTACCCCTAGTGGCTCCTTCCTAGACTCATCAGCTCCTTAACTGCAGCAAACACATTGGCCCTCTCAGCCTGAACTCAGAGTGAGTCCCCCTTTCCTTCTCATATCAGTGGACTTGACCTCCTTGCTTTATTTCTACACTAGAGCATTCTCCTTGTAAGAAAAAAACTCAAAATATTACACACAGGTGGGGTTAAGGTACACTTTGGCCAATACTCACAATCCTAGTCCTCTTTTCCCCCTTCCCAAAGGTAGACACTGTCAACAGTTTGGTGGGTAAGCTTCCAGGTTTTCCTTTAAAATTATTCTTCAATTACAGTTGATATAATATATTATATTAGTTTTAGGTGTAAAACATAGTGATTAGACATTCCTATATCTTACAAAGTTAGCACCTTGATAAGTCTAGTACCCCCCTGACACCATGCATAATTATTACAATATTATTGACTATATTTGCCATGCTGTACTTTACATCCGTGTGATTGTTTTTGTAACTGGCAGTTTGCATATCTTAATCCCTTCTTTTTCATCTATTCCCCCCCAACCACCTCCCATGTGGCAACTATCACTCTGTATCTATGAGTTCGTTCCTGTTTTGTTTGTTTGTTTTGTTTTGTTTAGATTCCACATATAAGTGAAATCATATGGTATTTGTCTTTCTCTGTCTGACTCATTTCACTTCACATAGTACTCACTAGGTCCATCCATATTGTTGTAGGTGACAAGATTTCATTCTTTTTATGACTGAGTAATACTTCCTTGTATATATTACCACCTCTTTTTTTAAAAGATTTTATTTATTTATTTTTAGAAAGAGGGAAACAGAGAGAGAAAGAGGGGGAGAGAAACATGAATGTGTAAGAGAAACTTACAAGCCAATTCTTTGATTGGCTGCTTCTTGCACAGGCCCCAACCGGGGACCATTTTGAAACCCAGGCATGTGCCCTGATCGGGAATCAATCCAGTGACCTGTTGCTTTACAGGATGATGCTCAACCAACTGAGCTACACTGGTCAGGGCTACACCACCTCTTCTTTATTAATTCATCTATAGACACTTTGGTTGCTTCCATATCTTGATCATTGTAAACAGTGCTGCAATGAACATAGGGATGCATATGTCTTTTCAAATTAGTGTTTTGGGTTTCTTCAGATAAATACCCAGAAGTGGAATTGCTGAGTCTTCTGGGTCCTTCTTTGTCTCTTGTCACAGCCTTTGTTTTAAAGTCTATTTTGTCTGGTATAAGTACTGCTACCCCAGCTCCCCACCCACCCCAATTTCTATTTTCATGAAATACCTTTTTACATTCCTTTACTTTCACTCTGTGTTTGTCTTTCATTGTGAGGTAGGTCTGTTGTATGTAGCTTATGTAAGGATCTTGTTTACATATCCATTCAGCCACCCTATGTCTTTTGATTGGATCATTTAATACATTTACATTTTAAGTAATTATTGATAGAGATGCTTGCATAGTTATTGCCATTTGATTATTCATATTTTATTTTATTTTTAATATATTTTATTGATTATGCTATTACAGTTGTCCTGATTTTTTCCCCTTTGCCTTCCTCCATCCGGCACCCCCCTTCCCTCAGACAATCCCCCCACCATTGTTCATGTCCATGGGTCATGTGTATAAGTTCTTTGGCTACTCCATTTCTGTACTTTACTGTACAGCTACTTCTATACTGTACTTTACAGCCCCGTGGCTATTCTGTAATTACCTATTTCTGCTTCTTTTTTTTTTTACACTGTTACTTATGCAGCTCCTACACCAAAGATATATTCAAGGGCAGGAAAGGACTGCAAAGTGTTTAGTTTATGCCTTTCTTGACACCACATTCACTAGTTTCCAAAAGTGAACGGGCAACACAAAGGCAACTATTTCTGCTTATTAATCCCTTCACCTCTAGCCCCTTTCCCCCATACCCCCTTCCCATGTGGCAACCATCAAAATGCCCTCCATATCCATGATTCTTAGTTTGCTTAGTTTGTTTTTTAGAATCAACTATTGATACATATGTATTTTTGCCATTTTGTTGTTCATACTTTTTATCTTCTTTTTCTTAAATAAGCCACTTTAACATTTCATATAATAATGGTTTGGTTACCCTGGCTGGTGTGGCTCAGTGGGTTGAGCACTGGCCTGTTAACTGAAAGGTTGCTGGTTCAATTCCCAGTTAGGGCACATGCCTGTGTTGCAGACCAGGTCCCTGGCTGGGGATCTTGTGAGAGGCAACCACACAATGATGTTTCTCTCCCTCTCTTTCTCCCTTCCTTCCCCTCTCTCTAAAAGTAAATAAATAAAATCTTTAAAAAAATTATGGTTTGTTGATGAACTCCTTTAGTTTTTTCTTGTCTGGGAAGTTCTTTATCTGCCCTTCCATTCTAAATGATAGCATTGTTGGATAGAGCAATCTTGGTTGTAGGTCCCTGCTATTCATGACTTTGAATAACTCTTGCCAGTCCCTTCTGGCCTGCAAAGTTTGTTTTGAGAAATCAGCTGACAGTCTTATGGGAACTCCCCTAACTTCTCATCTCTTGCTGCTTTTAAGATTCTCTCTTTATCTTTAATTTTTGGCATTCTAATTATGATGTGTCTTAGAGTGAGCCTCTTTACATCCATCTTGTTTGGGACTCTCTGTGCTTCCTGGACTTGCATGTCTATTTCCTTCACCAAATTAGGGAAGTTTTCTTTGATTATTTTTTCAAACAGATTTCCAATATGTTGCTCTTTCTCTTCTCCTTCTGGCTTCCCTAGGATGTGAATGTTGGACCTCTTGAAGTTGTTCCAGAGGCTGCTTATACTATCTTCATTTTTTGGTATTCTCTTTTTCCTCTTTTTGTTCTGATTGGTTGTTTTTTGTTCCTTATGTTCCAAATCGTTGATTTGGCTCTTGGTTTCATCAGGTCTACTGTTGTTTCCCTATAAATTGTTCTTTATTTCAATAAGTCTATTTTTCATTTCTAACTGGATGTTTTCTGTGTTGTTGAGGTCCTCACTAAGTTCCTTGAGCATCCTTATAACTAGTGTTTTGAACTCTTCATCCGATAGATTGCTTATCTCCATTTATAGTTCTTTTCTGGAGTTTTGATCTGTTCTTTCATTTGGGCCAAGTTCCTTTGTCTTCTTGTTTTGGCAGTCTCCCTGTTTGTTTCTATGTATTAGGTAGAGCTGCTTTGACTCTGTATTTTGGTAGTGTGCCCTATTATAGTAGGTGTCCTATAGGGTCCAGTGACACAGCCTAACCTATCACCAAGCCAGGTACTTAGGATGTACCCTTCTTGTGGGCTGAGTACACCCTCCTCTTGTAGTTGAGTCTTGGTTGCTGTTGGCAGATCCACGGGAGGGACTTACCCAGGCCAGTCAGGGTCAAAGATCGGCTGTGACCACTTACCACCAATGTCCACCATCAATGGAAGATCAGCTGTACAGTGGCAGGGTGGTGGTGCTCTGACGTGGTCTGTAACTGTCTACTGGGTTCACTGACCCTGGGGTTTCTTGGATAGTGCAGGCCAAGGTCATTCCCTACCTGTGTTTTGCCCCAGGGCCACCTTGCTTGAGCTCTAAGATGGTTGCTACTTGTGCTGGACTTGGAGGTTCCCAGGTAAAGCCAAGCTTTGAATTTAGGCTGTCTGGTGCTAGTGCCAGGCCTGGGGCTCCCTGAAGCCAGCTGTTGCTAGTCTGAGAGGATTTAGGAAGTTGTACAGCATGAGCCAAGACCAGCCATTTATATGGAAAAGCCACTTGGGGGGCTCGTAATTTGGATGGGTCAGAGTCTCTGGGGATCTCCAAGGGGGATCAGAGTTTTAGCTAAGTTGATGGAGTTTCAGCTATGGCACCAACTTGCCCACTCTGCTGTGGGGGGATAGTTAGAAAAGGGGCAGTGGCCTCTGCTGGTCCTGATGCCAGACACTTCAGTCCCTCCCAATATGCCACTGGTGCCTTTCAAGCTACTACCCTGGCATCACCTCATGGACCTCAGAGGGAGTGAGTCTGAGTAGGTGAGGCCATGTGTGGGTTCTTTAAGAGGAACTGTTTGGGGCTCCAGCAGTTTCTTCCATTGACCCAATCCCCACTGGTTTTTGCAGCCAGAAGTTGTGGGGACTAATCTCCATGGCACTGGAACCCTGAGCTGGGGGGGCTGGTGTGGGGCTGGGACTCCTTGCTTCTGAGATATTCCTCCTGAATTTTCATCCACCACAAGTGGGTATGGGACCAGCCTATTTCGCATCTATGCTTCTCCTACCAGTGTGGATGGATGTTGTTTCTTTAATTCCATAATGGTCAGAGTTCCATTCAACTCACTTTCTGCCATTTGTGAGTGATGGTTGTTCTATATTATAGTTGTAACTTTGATGTGGTTGTGTGAAGAGGTGAGCCGTGCCTGCCTACATAGCCATCTTGACTGGAAGTTCATTATTCATATTTTTAAACATTTTTCCTTCCTGTTAAAGAACTTTCTTTAACATTTCTTTTAATACTGGCTTGGTGGTGATGGACTCTAGCTTTTTCTTTCCTATGAAGGTTTGCTTTTTGTTTTTGTTTTTTTAAAGATTTTACTTATTTATTTTTAGAGAAAGAGTGGAAGAGAGGGAGAAACAGAGGGAGAGAAACATCAATGTGTGGTTGCCTCTCGTGCCCCCAACTAGGGACCTGGTCTGCACACCAGGCATGTGCCCTGACTGGGGATTGAACTGGTGACCTTTTGATTCATAGGCCTGCATTCATTCCACTGAGCCACACCAGCCAGCTAGTGTGTGTGTGTGTGTGTGTGTGTGTGTGTGTGTATTTTAGAGAGAGAAAAAAAGCATCAATTTATTTTTCCACATATTTTTAAAACAGATTTTACTTATTTATTTTTAGAGAGGGAAAGGGAGAGAAACATTGATGTGAGAGAGAAACATCGATTGGTTGCCCGTTGTATGCATCCCCACCACCCAGGCATGCACCTTTGACCAGTAATCAAACTGGCAACCCTTTGCTCAGTAGGTCGATGCCCAACCAACTGTAACATACCAGTCAGGGCTGCTGTTCCACCTATTTATGCGCTCACTGGTTGACTCCTACATGTGCTGCTGGGGATCAAACCCACAACCTTGGAACATTGGGAAGACACTGCAAGCAACTGAGCTATGCAGCTGGAGCCTCTTAAAGATGATTCAGTGTGGATTTTGAAACCATATCAACCATTTCATATTTTGTTACATTAAAATCCATTGGTCTATCCTGTATTTTAACAGATCTTTTGCCTGTGCATGATTTTATAACATCATGCATTGACAATTTGGAAAATACTGGTTTACTGAGTTATTTGGGTCTTTCAGATGTTGACGCAGTTCATTATATGATGTCAAAAAATTGCATTCATTAATGTCACCACTGCTCTCATCAGGGGTCTTAAAAAGTGTCTGAAAGCTCCCAAGGCTATGGTAGAGGTACAAGTTTTCCATAATTCTAATTTTTGCTTGAATGCTAAACATTTTTAAATGATCTACAACTTTAATGAAGTTATAAATATTGTCCATAAGTCATTAAGAACTACCAAAGATAACATATTTAGCATCTTCTATGTGTCAAGCCTAATGATAGGGAAAGCTCAGATTTTATGATTGGAGCCAGATACTGTCAATTGGTTTCCTGAAGTGACAGTCTCACTTTGTCCATTTTCAAGAAAATGCCAGCCAAATACCCAAATCTGAATAGCCATAGTTTATGTCCGTCATCATTTCAAGAAAGATCCTGTTCCATGAAAAAAAGCAACTAGTACAGCTCACAACTCCATCTTACACATGCTTTTCTTTGGGACAATTATTGTATTTCAGTATGCAACAGAAATGCTTTATCTGTACTTCCTGTTTCATTATGGAGAATATTGGAAAGCCATGTGCTCAAGGACAGAGATTTAATAATATTTACTGCTTCATTAAGGGCATTCTGAAGTGTGCAATGGTGAAAAGACAGTGACTGCTAGTACAGTTTGTTGCCGCTGCCACTGCCTTAATGAGCACTAAGGAACCAGCAGTTTTACGTACTTTCACTTTTTCTTTTCCTTCCACCTTTGCTTTTTCACCAAGAGTGCAGATGCCAACACAGTAAAAAGGGCAAATGATGTCTTAATATTATTATGAAAATAGTTTTACATCTCATAGAGTCCCTGAAAGGGTCTTGGAACCCCCCCGGGATCTATGGACTGCAGTTTGAGAACATCTGAATGTCTTCTCTAGGCCTAGGAGTAGTATTGTAAATGATGTGCATTTGTCATCTTAGTAGTTACTGCCAAATGCCTCCCAGCATGGCTCTGCCAGTTGATGCTCTCCCTAGCAGAGTATAAGAGGTGTCATTTCTCCTTATTCTGTTCAACACCGAATATTATAAAACTAAATTTTGCCAGTATGATAAGTAGAAAATAGAATTTCATTGTTTAATTTTTAGTTGTATTTTTTTCTGTGATATACCTGCTCATATCCTTTACCTGCTTTTCTCTGTTCTCTGTCTTTTTACCCAGAATAAAGAAAAACATTAGTGCTTTGACACACACACACACACACACACACACACACACACATACACACATACAAACAAGTAATATTTTCTCCCAGTTGGTAGCTTGCATTTTAACTTTGTTTATGGAATCTGTTATTGACTAGAAGTATTAAATTTTGAGGTCAGATTTATCACTCTTTCCTGGCTTTTGATTTTTGTGTTTTGCTTAATAAGGTCTTCCATATGCCAAGGTCATAAATATTCTTCTGTGTTTTCTAATACTCGTATAATGATTTCTGTGTGCTTGCTTACATCTTGAATCCACCTAGGATTTATTTTTGCAGATGGCATGAGAAACCTATATGTTTTTGTCCTTTGTTTCCAAAGAACTGT